CACCACCTCCTGCATGTGCCCAAAAACACGCTCTGAAATTACCTCCTCCATGATTTCCCTAGGGGCTGAAGTGGCACCATCTGGCCCGCAGTTTCTCTGATGGTCCTTTTGGCCTTTTTGGAAGATGGGTGCAACGTTTGCCTTTTTCCAGTCATCAGCAAGATGTAAAGAGTGATTATCCCTCCAGTTACATATTTTTAATTTTATCCAAAGCCATTTTTACATGGGGATAAATGTTAGTGATCATTGCACCAGCTAAGGCTCCGTTCCCAAATCTGTGTTCTTAACTTCCATTATTTAAGACTGTGATAATGTTGCCAACGCGTGTAAAATTCTCAGGACTGGGCAGCTTGAGAAAAGATCTGCAAGATACAAGCTTTACAGACATGCCAGTGTGTTTATTTTACTCCTTGATCATTTTAGACAGAATACTAACTACAGTGATCAAAAACCACCACTGACCAAATCCAACAGCTAAAACCTCCACCTACTGCCGTAATTATACATTAGCACAAAGTTTGGTTACCTGAAAATGTTGAAGTCAAATGAATTCTCTGTCAGGCATGGCTGTGTTTGATTGATTCATGTTCAGTTAAACATCTAAAATTTTCAGTGAACCTTAGAAGAAGACAAAACTGTCACATGCTATATTTAGAAGGCAGAACTTAAGGCTTCTGCTGGTTAAATGGATGCAAATGTTGCTTGATTAGAACCCATCTCCAGAGCAAGGCAGGTGATCAGGTACGAACAGTTTCTTTTCTTTCCTGCTCTGGGAGCAGCCCAGTGACTGACCCCAGCTGGTGAGAAGGGCTGAGGACCATCAGGGTGCTCAGCACAAGTAGAGCATAGACATTTTAATTATATTTTCTCTCAAGTGCCTTTGTTCTAAACAATAAAATCACTATTTGATCAGAACTGGCAGACCAGGGCCGGGGCAACGGATGAAGCGGTGCCGCTCCAGTCTGGGCACAGCCACGACTGCATCTCAGGAGACGTCCTGACCTTGGGGAGATGGGCCTCGGTGCGGGCAGGAGCAGGAGCAGGAGCACGCTGGGGAGCTACGGTGCCGCTGGGCTGGTGGACAGCCAGGAGCTAATCTCAAACACGAAGAGTCCTGGAACTCTCGTCTTGCTGTAAACAAAATATATCTGTTGTTGTTTTAATATCCCTGGGCTGCAGTCATTGACAGCAACTGCTACATGTAAGGAAGTTTTCCCTCTGTAACTAAAAGGTACTGTTAAATTGTGTAAGCCTCCAAAGTGAAGGTGGTAGGTCAGTGAAATGTAAGATTCAAAATTTACCTGTTATTCAGGCACTAGTACCCATCCTGTGTGGTTTACTACAGAATTGCAAGGAGTAGGCACGCGACTGGCGTAACAAGAACACCTAATTCTTCCTATTTTGCCAGGGCAGGACCAGCTAGAACTGAAGTGCTCTACACTCTCTGCGGTCCTCCTCTGAAAAGCAATTATTACTGCATTTAATTATGGTAGGCTGGAGATTCTACAAGCTATTCCACTGCTTTTTTCTAATGAAAATCTCCCTTGCTGCAATTCAGGCTTTGTTAGTCCTTTCACTCTTGGGCAGGAGAACTGTCTACTGGCTTTGCTATGTCTTTTTCTGTATTTAGCATTATCAGTTCTGTTTTGCCCAGACAACAGGCATATTAGAAGTAATTATCTTCCTCCCCATGTGACTTAGCAAACTATCTCCATTATATATTAACCTATATATTTGGTGGGTCAAACTGGCACATCTATGGGAAGGAAAGACATTTTATAACCATCATGGTTTAGCCCTACAGCAAAGCAGCTACCTGAGGCACCCTGGTCAGCAGACTGAGACCAAACTCTGCCAAAATAAAAGATGGGTCCAGACTTAACTGACTTCAGCTGGACCAAGCTATCTATGCATATGAAAGTAGTTTTTAATTAGAAGTAGCTTGCTTATTGCCAAGGCTAGTACCAGCTGAGGATGATTATAGGCTACCCAATACTGTGTTCACTCCTCTTACCAGAATATCACTACAGAAAAGATTCCATCCATCACTTACGTGCTTAGGAATATTTCCCTGTAATAAAGTAATTCTCTGAAGATAAAAGTATTTCATTTAAACAAGTGGCCATAATAGGTCAATTTGCAGATGCCTGTAGAATAAATGAAAATATCTGGCTTTTCTTAGACCTCTTCTGTGGAGCATACAACAGCTCCATCCAGGGCTGCTTTCAGATTAAGCTATTTGCTGTTCCTAGGATTTAAATTACTAATGTAAATGGTTTCCACTATTTAAGCAAAGTAACACTATAAGCACTATCTCTTGTAATAAGCGTTTCAGAATGACCAAGAACAAGCATGTTTCAGCTCACTCAGTGCCACAAGGAGCGTGCTGGTGCACAGCAAATGGCAGCAGCTCGCTTAACCCTGAAATGTCCTTAAAGGTTCAGTCTTTGTAGACACTGACTTGTAAAACTTTAAAGGACAAATTGTCCTGTTGAACGATCATGTAACTGAAGAGCCTTGCTCTCAGCCTGCCTTGTGCTGATGCTGAATCTTGTCCTCTCCTTTCTGGAATAGTTTGGGGTTACCCCCCCCCCAACTGGTCTTTTGAAGCTGTTATTCTACCGCCTTACCTGTTACGACTTTGATCAGATGCTTAATGCCACGTAGGGGCTACGACAGGCAGCTCTCGGCCTTTCCACAGCAGCAAGGCTGCCCCAGTACGCGTGTAGGACCAGGGAAGAACCAGGAGGGACAGGCAGCCGCAGAGGCCGTCGATACAAACAGTTTTCCTCTTAGGCAGGCAGAGGGAAGAAACAGGCGCTGCAGAAGGCCAGCGCCGTCCACGGCAGGGCATCTTCTGGCGTCTTGATGAATTTCCAGGCATTGCGATAGGGCTGTTGCTACACAGTAGCTTAATGTACAGAGCAGAGAGGAGGGGTGGGTACATTGCAAATTCTGCCAGGATGACCTGGGATCCAGCCCTGCTGGAATTACCCCTCAGAAAACACCCGAGACAGATTTTCTCAGATCTTCCTTGCTTTTGCGTCCAGTAACAGTCAACTGCATTAAAATGCATGTACTGATCTTCAAACTTCCCACAAGGAGGTAACAAAAGGACAGAAGAAAACTCTCCCATAGCGTCACACTTGAGCTTGATTCTAAGGTGTGGTGGATACAGATTCAACCTATGTGGACGAGGCGTCACAAAACCGAACACATCTAACAGCTTCGAAGAGCCCATGGTGCAAGTCCCGCAGAACGACAGACAATACACAACAGGTATTTAGCACGAGGAGAGGGTAGCCCCAGCCGCTACGAAGTGTTGCCCCGTTGCATTTGGTAATTAGACCAGACACCACCTTTGGAGCCATTTGGTGAAGATTTAAGAAAACACTTCCACACAAAATCAGTTTCTCCCTCCCAATTCCTGCAGCTGTGCATCAACAGCAGTGACAAATTAATGAACCCTGGGCCCCCCGCCAGCCCACCCTGCACATTTTGACTCCTTTCTCGGCTGTCGGGCTCTCCCCCGCTCCTGCCCCCACCTACCACCCTGTTGAGCAGCATATCAAGAAGAATCCACGCAAGCGCGCATCACCCCTCGCTTTCCTAGCTCCCTTTTTCTGCAGGACCCTTCTCCTTTCTCATCCCCCTGGCGATGCCCCAGCAGTTCCCAGCAAGGCTCTCCTCACCTCCCTGCTTTTGGCAGGGCCGACTGAGCACCCCTCCATGTCCCGGGTATCGGTAAAGCCAGCTACAGCAGAAACCTCTCGAACTTGGGCACCTGCCTTGCGGCTCCGGAGGACTCCTAAGCAAACTATGAACCTGCTGCTGCTCCTTGTCCTGCCTCCGAGTCACAATAAAAGCCATTTCTGATCTCTTGGAGGATTAGAAGCAACGCAGCCCTGATACTCGGTACCAAGGAACTGCCATCACCTGGGGTCTAGGTCTTCAGCATCATTTTGTATAGTCTATGTAGTGTTAAGGATATTTGTTAACCACATGGGTAAATCCCTCCCACCTTGCGATGAGTTAAAGCCATGTTCTCTCAACTAACTCCTGAAAATGTCACCTCCCCTTCTACCACTCTGCTACGGTCACGGCTTTCTGCTTTGTCCGGGTCTCTTCTCTCCAAGGGCTTCCCAGCACCTCCCCGTTCCCCACCACAAACACCAGCTGCATCAAAGCTTATTCTCTGCCATACCTCCTGCCTTTCCTTCAGCAGAGAGGGCTCCGTTTGTACCTCCGCCCAGAGCCATTACGGTTTTGAACACGCAACTTTGATGCTTTCTCCTCTCAGACCTTCCCTAAAGCCGCGTATCGGACACCTGTGAGACCAGCGCCGTCCACGCTCGCTAGTGGAACGGCTCAGGGGTGACCGTGGGGCACGGCACCGCTCTCCCATCGTGCCAGGTAGGATGCTGCGATTTTGCGGAGGAGGAGGAGGCGTTAAATCACGGCACGAGTAACCCAGCTGCAGGTTTGATCACAATTTGCTTCCCGCTTTTAAGACCGGTGAAGAAAATTGCACGGATATTTACTTTAAGAGCTGAAACGCGGAGCATTGTACCCCAATTAAATACCCCGCTGTTAACAAGCAAGACGACAGCTCTCC